AAACGACGAGCTCAGCCACGCCCCCAACGTCAGCGACGTCTGACGTCACTTCCGGTGACGTCGCGGCGGCACACGCGCGCTTTGGGCGCGCACAAGGACAAACGGCAAACTCCCGGCTGGGACGGAGCCTCCCCCGCTGGTGAGTTAAAAGGATTTGGCAACCCTACTCCCCTCTCTTCTTGTCTCCTGTTCAGATCCTGCAGAGATTTGCTTGTCAGCAGCCTATCCTATATTTCACACCCATTACCAGTTAGACCAACCCCAACTTCCACTTTCTCTGTTATGACCGTCTAAAGTGTTTCCCTTTAGTGATCTGTACAGCACCCATGACCTAACTCAATAAGGGTGAGCCCTAGCCATAGTTTAAGTAGATAATAGGACATAATGGCCAGTACTTTATCACACTGTAGGTTCTTGAGAATGCATGAACCTGAGCTACAGTATATGCAATATTTAATAACAAAAGTATATACAAATGAAGGAAAACTGTGTCACTCATCACTTGTGATGCAATGGCCACTATTCATATACAAACATATGAAGTAGCTTGATGCAAAATCAGACTACCATTTGCTCTAGTTTAAGTGGCAGTAGATCTCCAGGGTCTTGGGCAGAGTCTTTCCCAACAGGTGCTGCCTGGAAATCTGTGGCCGGAAGATGCCAGGGACTAAATCTGAGACTTGCTGCATGCAAAGCAGTGAGCTCTTAGCCATAGCCTCCCCCAGAGCATACCACTGTCAGCTTTCTTCCCACAACAGGGCCAGAAATCTTCTGTTCCACAAGAAATGGCACATGCTAAGCCACCCTGGACATGACAGTTCAAAATTTATCTACAGTAACTGTACAATTCAGTCCACAGATTACACTGAATGCAAGGGAAGATTACATTTTCCCAGTAACAACATTGCGATTAATGATAGGAAAAATAACAGTTTCATTACAGTGTAAACAAGTTACCTAAATCCCTCAAAATAATAAACAAAGGTGAACTTTTAGGAAAGATATTTGAATCTTCCACAGCAAGTGCATAATGACTGTGTATTTTCCCCATGTCATCTCTAGTAGTGCCTCTACACAGCAAAAGAACTGAAAACTGTCTCATTTGCTAGCTCTAGCAGGCTTCTTTCAAACTCCCCATATCTTTGAACATAGCAGTGTTATTGTCATCTTCTGGACAGAGTTTCTGTGTTTTGAACACATACTCTGTAACATCAACATGTTCAGCAAGTGGGCCAATTTCACTTTAATTATGGTCCTGTGAGTTCCACATGAGGTCCTGAGGAGTATTTCTCATCGATCTGAGTCTTTAGCTCCAACTGAATTGGGCGAAAAATGATTTCTACAGATATTGAGCCCTGACCTGGATAGTCCAGGCTAGCCCAATCTCATCAGAGCTCATGAAGCTAAGTAGGGTTGGCCCTGGTCAGTACTTGGATGGGAGACCACCAAGGAAGTCCAGGGTTGCTACGCAAAGACAGACAATGGCAAACCACCTCTGCTTGCCTTGAAAACCCCAAGGGGTCACCATAAGTCAACTGTGACTTAACGAGGCCAGGGGACAGATGTTAGCCCTGAAAAATGGGGATTTTTTTAACCCTTTCCTACTTTAAGGACTTTCTCAACAACAACAAAAATTTTTTGAGAAATGTGGGGAGTGCTACAAAAACTCCTAGGAACTTTCTTTGACTAAGTGACATGCTTTTAAAGACAGCATTTACCATGGCTTCAGCATTTTTGGAAATTATACATTTGTACTCATTTGTTGAACCAGGACTATTTTTGGGCAGGAACGCACAGGAACGGAGTTCCGGCTGGCTCCCGTGTTGGCCACGCCCAGCAGGAACTAATTAGCATAATAGGCCACACCCAACAGCAGAAACTCATTAGGATTGGCTACATTAGGGGTGTGTGGCCTAACATGCAAAGAAATTCTTGCTACAAAAAAAGCCCTGGGTTTTGACAATAAACAAAGTAAATAGAATAAGAAGCAAAAGGTGGTGAGGCTGGGTGACCACACTTCTGGTAACATGGGGGTGTGGCCTAATATGCTAATGAGATGTGCTTTCAGGGTGTGACCTATATGGCAATGAGGCTAATGAGTCCCTGCTGTTGGGTGTGGCCTATTATGCTAATGAGTTCCTGCTGTGCTTTTTCTACAAAAAAGCCCTGTGTTGAACCAAATCTAACCTCAGATGAGCCTTATTCTCATTGGCCTTCACTATGTTCTCCACCCTTCAGAAAGAAAAAGAAGCTATTGGGGCCGGTCAACTGTTCTTCTACAGAGATCTGACCTTACTAAGTGTCCCTGAGCATCTTTCTTATCCGTCCATAGGTCTTACTTACCATCTTGCCTGCTAGGAATATTAAAATGCCACTCATGATCTTGGTGTATAATGGGAACATATTATCCATTTCATCACTGAGAAACCAGATATAAAATCTTCCTAGTTACCTTTGCCTTAATATTACTCATTTCTTCAAGAATTCTCTTCATTTCTGGCTTGGGAGTTTTCTCTACCTGTAATGTGGAAATCACAAAATGAATAGCTGTTGAAGCTGATTTTTCTCCAAGTTATAAAGGAAGACAACATACAAATTGATCGTTAGCCATCCCATCTGTCAGTTTAATTAGTTAACACCTGAAGAACATCTTGTGCTGAAAAAACAACAATAAAAAGTCTATTGGCTTTTAAAAAATCAATGAAAACTATGTAGGTTTGCTTAATTGTTCATTTCACTTGATTTGCTGTCATTTAATGGTGTTACAGTTAACGTGAATACAGTAACTACTAGACATGACATTTCTCATGTATTCTGCTTGGAAACTAGAAACCATATACCAGCTACCAGACCCCAGTGGCAGCTGCTCATAATTGGGCTGTGAGGGCCCAATTCTGGTTGGGACCATAGGGTGTCTGGGTGGGGGAGTGGACAACAGTATACCACAAACTGGGCCAGCTCATTCTGCCATTAAACTACTTATGATCTGTTTTTCATACTTCTGCCATTTGAAGTGGCTAAAGAAAACAACTCAATTTACTTATACCCTGCCTTTTCCCCAACAGGGACCCAGAGCAGCTCACATCATTATTCTTCTCTCCTAAATCTTATCCTCACAACAACCCTGTGAGCTTGGCTAGGCTTGAGAGTGTGAAGGGCCCAAGGGTCACCCAGATCATAGTCCAGCACTCTACCCACCACACAATACTAGAACTACATATTAAATTGAACATGAATGCTAATTCTTTTCAGCAGAAGGAAGGCAATCTAATAGAGTATCCAGGACAGATTTGTGACATGACTAAGAGAGGCAGGTTCCAACCACTAAATGATATGAAAACTAGTTATTTCCCTGGTTTAAAGACATCAGGAGCAGACTGGAGGAGCTGCAATTCACATGAAGTCCAACATTCCTTTTGTAACGTGTGTGTGTGTGATGTCAGTGTACGAAATTACTTATATCTGTAACAGCCATATATCCCAACAATTTCAGTGGACTTTGCTATATACAACCGAGTACAGCCCATCTACATTTTGGGGGAAAGAAATAATATTAAACACACCTCAAAACCCCATAAAATTCAGATAATAATTAAATTGTTTAAAAGAGGGAAATGTTCACCTAAAGTTCACAATATGTAAGCCTCATTAAACTAAACAGGAATGATCTTGACAACCATCTTCTGTACATTGCTATTGGTTCTGCTGGTACTTGCAAAAGTGTCCCCACCTTCAGTTTCTAGTGTAGAGATTATCTGGTATGACATTACTTCTGCTACAGTGGCACTGGGTTCTACTGGGCTTCTGCAAATTGCTATTTGTTCTGTTGGGTTTGCAAAAGTGACCCCCCACACACACACCCTCCTTGCGTTTTCACTGCAGATATTCTTTGGTTTGACTTTGGTTCTCTTGGACTTACACTGCCACAGTAGCATGAGGGTCTGCTGGGCTTCTACAAATTGGCATTGGTTCTGTTGGGCTTGCCAAGTGCCCCCACCTTGAGTTTCCACAGCAGGGATTCTCTGATTTGATTTTAGTTCTGTTTGGCTTGGCACATTGGCTTATGGTTCTACTGGGATTACTGGGTTCTGCAAAGGTTCTGTTGGCCTTGTTGTTGATTCTTCCATAGGAGACATTTGATCAGTGATTGCTGTTTGGGTATGGCTTTTCCCCTGGAAGCAGCTTGGAGGTGGCTTTTTTTCTCCCTCCATTGGAAATAATTGAGGACAGCTGGTGGCACCCTGTTTAGGGGGCCCCACTATGAACCCCAAACAGCTGGCATTCCCACATAACATGTCCTTTGCATATGGAGGTTTTCTTTCAGCCTTTGACTGCCCTCTCCTTCTCCATTACTCCCTCTAATCCCCCTATGACTCTAAGAAACTTGTTCTTGGACACATCAGGACATGTTTTACTTGATCAACACATATATGCAGTGAAGAAAAAATACTAACTAGTGTATGACATGGAAGATACTGTTGCCAGGGTCAGATCCTGTTTTCCAAAATACAAAGAGAGCAATGGAAAGGGCAGGGCAGCCATTAGGCAGAGGTTTGGAAACACTGATGGGAAAGACCTCCACCTGAGACCCTGGAGAGCCTCCGCCAAGTCAGACCATACTGACTGATAGATTGATGGTCTGACTCAGTAGAAAACAACTTCATGTGATTCTTCCAGAAATCAACTCATTACTTTTCTAAAGAACTGAACTATTTAAAAAATATTTATATGCTTGCCTTTCTCCTGAGCATCTCAGGACTCAAGGTAGTTTATTTTTACAAGATCTCTATAATAAACTATTCCTTGGCAATAGGAGTGGTGTTTGGGTAGGATGTGAGACAACACTGAGATTTCTTTGACAGATCGGCATCTGTAAGTGTGTGTTGTGTTTTACTGCACTGTAGATACAGTACAATCACATTTTGATTACACTTCTCTAACGCTTTTCTACAGCAGAAAAGAGCAAGAGTCCAATAGCACCTTAAAGGCGAACAAAATATGTGGCAGGGTATGAGCTTTTGTGAGTCACTGCTCACTTTACAGTGACACAACATAATGTAATGTAGTACTGGATGTTATGGCAGATCTGAATGGAAATACAACTAAGTATAATATGTGGAAGAAAGAATAGTTTAGGACTTACTTGTATAAGAATGGCCAAAATCGCCACGCCATCCGGTTTTCTCACAGCATCTCCATAATTACTGTACTTTGAATACCAATGCACCACATGAATCTGGGAATAAAAGAAAAGATTATAAATGCCACCATGGAGTAATATGGCAGCAGAACTCTGATCCACAATCTTGACAGTGGCTTTTTAGGGAAATACATAGGACTATTTTTGTTCCCATGCCTGTTTCCCCAAACAAAGTGATCCTTGCAGTCATTGGTGCAATCCCAGAAGAATGTGGCTTCATGACAGAGTTTTGTTTGCTCCAGCCCTTATGCTGGAAAAGCAGATAAACCAACTGGCAAAAAGGGCCTTTTGCCAGCTTTTTGCCAGCTTCATACGGCATGGAAGTGGTAGTCTATTTTTTAACTCAGCCAATATAGTCATGCTAACCCACAGAATCATAGAATCACAAAGTTGGAAAGGGCCATTGAGGCCATCTAGTCCAACCCGGCCATGGCTGGGAGGGCAGGGTATAAATATAATAAATAAATAAACCCCCTGCTCAATGCAGGATCAGCCTACAGTATCCCTGACATGACCCAGTATCCTCTAGACTAGACTACTGAAATGTGTGACTGCCCTGGAAGACAACACAGAAGCTACAGTTGGTGCAGAGTGCAGCAGCTAGATTGTTGACAGGGGTTAAATGTTTTGAACATGTAACTAGAGCCCTATGCACATGTTACAGTGAACGGACATACATACTGCCTGTACTTGCATACATGTTCACTTCATGAATGAAACTGGTGATCGGTACCTTGATAGTCTCACACGTTTACCTGTACATGTGCTGACTGTAACATGAGAATGACTCGATGCACATACAAAGGAAAATCAAGTGTATACACATTCTCCGTAACTTGTGAACACAGCTTTTGAATTTAATATTATTACAGATCTCTTTGCCTTCTTACTGTACTTCCCCTGGTCTCTGAAAGGGCTGGGTAATCTTTACATTTTTTAAAGGAGTTGCCTACGTAGCATAGCATTTAAATTTCCCAAATTCTATCCTGTATCCTTGCACACATTTGAAGTTTGTTTCAAATCCTAAATCAGCTGCCTTCATAGAGGAAGTACTTCATCAGTTCACCTACACAGGGTTTGACAGTTCAGGATTAATACATCAACAGGTAACTCCTATATTCCCATGTAAACTGCTGCTCTGTACTGTCTGGACAAAAAACCTATGACTCCCAAAATGAACAACTGACAGGGTAATAATAACTATAAAAATGTGCTTGTACTAGGGTTGCCAGGTCCATCTGGGCAGCTGGCAGGGGGTGAGCTTACTGGGAGCTGGGAGTTTCTTCACACATTTCACTGAGGTGTCCATATGACTTCCAATGTGACCCCAAAGATTCCAGGGACATCTGGGCAATGCTCTTGTTTTTGGGCAAAAACTCTTTGGTAGAATTAGCTTCTACCATATTGTTTTTTCCCAAAAACCAGAGCTTAGCCCCAACATCCCCTAAATGCCTATGTCACTTCTGGGTCACACTGAAGTCATGTAGGCATGTTGCTGTAATGTCAGATGCTCCTCCCTCGTTTGGGGGGTAATTCCCTCCCACGCTGGCCAGCTGATCCTTGGCAGAGAGGTCGGGCCTGGCAGCAGGGGACTCCCGCCCACACCAGGGTTCTGGCATCCCTAGCTTGTACCCACTATGACTCCCAAAAGTTCCTGGTGCAGCTTGTGGCATTTCTGATTAGGCCCCTAGTTTTGTCATGGGAGAATCCAACACTTTATTAAAACAGGTAATAAAACTTTTGACTAAATGTTCTTCATTACATACTACAAACATTAGCAAGAATATTGTGCCCACAGTCTTTATGCTTTACATCACAGGCCAGAGACTTCACTCCTATGTTTGGGGAGGGGGTTGCAAAGATGCAGAGAATATTTATTTGTTTACTTCATTTGTAGCCACAAGAAGATACCAGTGCATGAGGAAAACAACACAGTGCAATTCAGACACAAATTCAGAATTGCTTATGAAGGAGCACTTATAAGATTCGGGATCTGTGATCTTGTCCATTGCTGTGTGGAGAAAAACCAGTCTCCCTTTTCCAGCAAGCAAATGGTACAGAGCCACCATGGAACAGTGTTCTCATGGGGAAAAAACTGCTAGGACCTTGTCCTTGGATAGGATACCGATATTTAATCACTTGACAGCCAATGGACCTAGTTTATGATGTTACTAATCTGCTTTAAACTGTTTCAGAACTGAGAGCGGACATGGAATCAGAGCCTGGTTTTTTCCACTTGGATGGGGTGGGAGTGACAGGGAGGCATGCCACATTATTTCCCATGCAAACACTCACCTCTCCTGCATACCTTGTTGCATCCACAACATGCTCAGAGCCTTTGTCATCTGTAGAACCCCAGTGGATGTTGAGCTGACGCAGCCTGTAAATTCCTGGGAGTGGTCCACCCCTCAATACTGCAATAAACAGCTTCCATTAATAGAAAACTTTCCACAGCCAGGGCAACAGTACAAGTCTGTTGCAAAAACAGCTAATTTAAGTGAGGGCATTTTCTCTTCTTGGATGTGACTTCTCACTTTTCCAAAGAAAGTATCCATAACACTGTTATTCTACCTACTTCTCCAATGAGCAGAAATTATCGTTGTTCTTTCCCTTCAATAATTGCCCCCCCCCCATCACAGTTCATCATCCTGATAATTTAAACCAAGACAAATTTATGGTGGCCTGAGTTTTTGTGAGCCAACGTTCTCTTCATCAGATGTATAACATGCTATTTCCAGTCAACATACAGGAATGGGGGGGGAGTTATTACAAAGGGAGGTAAGAAGTCCCAGCATTCGACCGGAAGTAGGTATGGCGCGGCGATGGGCGGTTTCTCAGTCACTCCGAGAATGCTCGATCCTTTAACACTTTTTTTTTTGAGCCCCTGGGACGACCGGGGGACTTCGCTGGACCTCCTGGAGAGAGGTTTAGTGCAGGGGGCTCTGTTGCGGCCCCTCCCGCTCTTGGCAACACGGGGGAATGACCGCTTCTACCCCGAAGCGGGAGCGTTTCATGGAGTAGAGCATGAACTCATGCTCTACACAAACTGCGACCATCCGTTTTTAAATCTTTTCTGGATTTAAATATTTTTTACAATATGGGATACAGTAACAAAATGCAGAAGAAGAGGAATCTGTAAATAACTTTGTGAGTACGCTTATTTCTAAATTATAATGGTTGAGACAATGCTTTTCAAGCCCAAGATGGAGGTGATTAGCGGCCAGAGAAGGAACGGGAGAAGGAAACATAGTGGATGTTCTTTTTCTCTCTCTCGGGTTAAAGAACTTTGTTGTTAGGGACTCACATTTGTGCTTAAATTATTAGATGATTATTGAAAGTGTACATATTTAAAGTGGAAGTAATTATATCCTTAAAATGGCATCTCCAGCTGTGTTGAGGAGGAGGATTTTGATGATGATACATTAGTAGGGGAACTTACACTGGAGCAATTCTTGAAGGTATTGAGGGACGAAATACAAAAAGGTATTAAACAAGCTTGCGCAAACGTGCTTGGAAACTCACAAGTGATACAACGGGCCAAGGAAGATGAGGAGAGAAGTGAAGAGAAAATGGTGCAGGATGGGCGGGAAGTTGTGGAACAACAGGCTTGCGGCTGTAAAGAGCTGTTTGTTAATACCCAACCCGCGCCATTAATAGAAGTAAAAACGAAGAGGAGGGGATTGTCTTATTTAGAGACAGAACAAAAAAAAAGGAGAGACAAAATATGTTTGATAAGGAAGGGAGAAATAAAAAGAAAAAGAGAGACCAAGACAAGGTGTGTGGAAAAGTAAGATTGAAAAGATAACCAAGAACATAATTAGGTGGAATAATAGAAGAGAAAGCTCAGGAATAAGACCCCACATAGGTAAAGAAAAAAGCTACGTGGATTCATGGGGTTAAATTTGGGCTATAGAAATCTAGTTCGATTGATTTTGAAGATTTTTGGTTATATTGGAAAAATGAATGGATTCTGGTGTACCCTAATATTGATGATTTTGTTTATATGTCTATATGTTTAATTATTTAGTTATTTATGTATGGTGGGTATAAGGTATCTTGGCAAATGGAATAGGGAACATAACTTAATGTTAATGTTTGTTATTAATAATTAGTAGTTTAAAGCTTAAAAGATGGTAACTAAGAAATGTTAGTGTAATCTTATAACTATCAAGTGGAAATTGTGAGAACCTTACTTAGAGACTGTAAAGTCCATAGAGAATGGGTAAATTAAATAGTATAAAAAGCAAGTTAAAACATATTATGATAGCTGTTTTAGAAAGGCGTACATAAAGTGCTGATTTGTGTCTTTAGTTTCTGTCCCTAAGAATTTAATGTGTGTTATGGTATACTGACAATATCTCTTAGGATATATCTGTATCGATATTGTTCTTTAGGTTGTATGTGGTGTATCTGCGGCATATTGAAAACCCAATAAACAGATCTATTTTAAAAAAGAAGAAGTCCCAGCATTCCAGGACATGAGCATCTTGCATCTAAGGCTGTCATCCTCAAGCTGGGGCCTGGAGATCTCCCACAATTATAAGGGCTCTCCAGATGACAGCAATCAGTTTCCCTAGAGAAAAAGGCTGCTTTGGAGAGTATAGCATTACACCTCCTTGAGGTCCCTTCCCTCTCCAAACCCTGCCCTCCCCAACTCCACCCCCCCCGGGGTATCTCCAGGAATTTCCCAACCCAGTGTTTCCTACCCTAAATTTGGTGTAGTGGTTAAGTGCGCAGACTCTAATCTGGGAGAACCGGGTTTGATTCCCCACTCCTCCACTTGCTGGATGGCCTTGGGCAAGCCGTAGTTCTGATAAGAGCTGTCCTTGAAAAAGAACAGTTTCTGTCAAGAGCTCTCTGAGCCCCGCCTACCTCACAGGGTGTCTGTTGTGGGGAGGGGAAGGGAAAGGAGTTTGTCAGCCGCTCTGAGACACCTTTGGGTGTCTCCTTCTCCTTCTCCTTCTCCTCCTCCTCCTAAGAACAGAGCAAAAGAAGGCTGCTTCCACGGGGGGGGGGGCATGAAAATGTAACCTGACCATGGCACCAGCAGCAGCATGCAATGTGGGGGTGAGCAGTAATGGCATCCATACATCCCCATGCCTATGCCACTCACAGCTGTCCCCTGCTCCTCCCCTTTTCTCCATTGTGTCTGTGAAAAAGCTCCATTGTGTCTGTGAAAAAGCTCCAATGTGATGGTGTTCTACCAGGCCATCTTCCTTTCCACTCAGTTTCTCTTTCC